GCGAGAATCATGACGGGACGAACCTTAATGGCCTGCTACAGTCCCGTCATGCGCCTCCTCGTCGCCTTTCTGCTGATGCTCGGTCTTGCCGCACCGGTCGCACATGCCGACGCGCTGGTCCGCATTGAGGGCAAGAACTTCGTCGAGCCCGACGGGCGCATCCTGCGTCTCAAGGGCATCAGCCTCGGCAACTGGCTGATGCCCGAAGGCTACATGTTCAAGTTCGAGGTCGCGAAGTCGCCCCGCCAGATCTATGGCGCGTTTGACCGGCTGCTGGGACCGGAGCGCGCCGCCGATTTCTGGCGCCAGTATCGCGACAGCTATGTGACCGAGGACGATATCCGCTTCATCAAGTCCGTCGGTTTCAACATGGTGCGCGTGCCGCTGCACTGGCGGCTGTTCATGAGCGCCGACGGCGAGATCGGAGGCGAGGGCTGGTCGCTGCTCGACCGGGTGGTCGGCTGGGCCGCCGCCGCCGGACTGTATGTGATCCCCGACCTGCATGCCGCGCCGGGCGGGCAGACCGGCATCAACCACGATGACGGGCCGGGCTATCCGCTGATGTTCTACGTGGCTCGCGATCGCGACCTGACGGTGAAGCTGTGGCGGGCCGTGGCGCAGCGCTATCGCGGCAACCCGGCGATCCTGGGCTATGACATCCTGAACGAGCCGATCGCGCCCTACCACGACGTGGCGACGCTCAACGCGAGGCTGGAGCCCTTCTACAAGCTCGCAACGGCGGCGATCCGCGACATCGATCCCGAACGTATCGTGATCCTGGCGGGCGGCCAGTGGAGTTCGAGCTTCGCGATGTTCGGCCCGCCCTTCGCGAAAAACCTCGCCTACACCTACCATTCGTTCTGGGCGTCGACGAAGCGCGACTCGATCCAGCGGCACCTGAACTTCGCCAACCTTTACGACGTGCCGCTGTTCCTCGGCGAGACCGGCGAACTCACAGACGAATGGAACGAGCGCTTCCGACGCCTGCACGAGATGCACGACATCGGCTGGTCGTTCTGGACCTACAAGAACCTCGACACGCCATCGACCATCGTCTCGATCACGCGGCCCGAGGGCTGGAAGGAGATCGTGGCCTATGCCGACGGCGCCACGAAAGG